AATCCATTCTTTTATTCTTTTAGTTTATTTTAACAGTTTATGAAGGTAGTAGCTTATAAAAGCTTTTTTTTTAAATCTCTTTTTTTTCCTTTTGTCTGTCCATCTGCCAGTGTAGTAATGACAGAAGGACTCCATTTGATTGAATACACTGTAAAGCCTGTCTTTCACAAAATTTCCTTCCAAAACAAAGACTACAAATTAACAAATGATGAATAATTTGCATGCCTCATTCCCAGCTATGCCCTGACATTCATACGGGTAATTAGCCTGCAAGTATTACAAGTATTAACAGTCTGTCAATAAGCATCATACAATTCATGACACATCTGTGACTTGAATTCATTTCGGTGGCCTTTGGAAGCTGAGCATTTGGTGGGCTTTAGGAAAAAGGCCCAGCTGGCCTGATACAAAGTTTTCTATTTATTTATTTTTTTAATTTAACCACGTACTTTTTTTTCGCACAAAGATGCAATTTTAAAAACACAATAAGTTGGACCAGTTACTAAAATCAGTGTGAATTTCAACATAATTTAGTGTACAAGTTTACCGGCATCCGTTGAAAAATAAGATAAGCAGCTTGGTTTCAACAGCTCACTGATGCTGATTCCCTGTCCCAGCGAAAAAGCAATTACATAAATTACTCCTTCATTACAGACTGCTCTTTGCAGAGGTGTATGAGCATTTACCGCGAAGTCACATATTAATCTGTGAAAAATGCACAGGAATTGCTTTTCCTAATAGAAGACCAGTATTTCAAATTGCCACTGACTCCCAGGGTTAAAAAGAAATTTATGTTTTAAGAAATAATTAGCCAAAGCCCCCTAATAGACTTGTCCTCTAGCCAACATGACACATTCTAGCTGACCTTTTAGTCATCTTCATAAACCGTTGAGTGCCATAATTTAGCATTTAAATATAGCCGCGAAGCAGAACCAATCGCTGGTCTGTGTTTTTAGGGGGAAGTGAGGAAGATTTAGCATTGATTTAGCCACTTCATCTCTGCATCAGTGCTCCAGGTGACACCACAGACCCAGGATCATTGGAGACGAGGTTAATGTGGGTTAATTCTTCTGATTTTTGCAATGTGTGCCATTAAATGTCAGCGTTCGCATGTGGCGTGAGACTTAGTGAAGTTGAACACAGCTTTGTTTAGAATATCCGACCTATATAAGAGCTCATGGTAATGATTTTGTTAGATGAGGCCAGTTGTGAGGTGTTCTTCAACGTGAGTCACTCAAGTAAAGGGGTCTCTGAACTTTGATGTACTTTTCAGCTGAGCGACTGCAGAATCCCTTTGAGGAAGATGACAGCGGGGGCTCACAAAGCTGACTTCACGCTTTCCAATTCAAAAGCGTGCTGGTCTCGCAGAAATTTTTTACATCAGCATCTATATTTTTGATCCTTGAAGTGCAACAGGGATGCCATTAAAAACTCTCTTCAGTGATTTAACGTCAAATAATTTCAAGATTATTCCAGTCATGTTGAGAGCGGAATTTAGTGGTGGGTTTAAGGTATGGGAATTAAACAAATTAATTAATGAAGTCTCTCAATGTCCTCTTTTTTTCAGTGTGAATGTTTTCACACTTTTTAATCCAGTGAATATTTCTCATGGTACTGCAGGTTTATTACTGAAAGCCAATTTCTGGATAGACGCATTCCTTAAAAAGACACAGTTCACCAAAGACATGCTATTTCATTATTATAATAGTCGGGCATGTTGTCACATTGCATGTGGTAAGCTGTCATATTGAGAACCTGACGCAGAATAAACTATTGTAGGCTTTTCAGCTCAAATTAAACATTTCAATAATACAAAAAAGTATTAAAAAATATATAATTTTCACACATATGATGACCTGCCTGTATATAAATGTGACAAATTTTCTCAACCCAACAGTCTGCCTTAATTATGTTGTTGACTTTTGTTGTCTTAATATTTCATTGTGTTTTTATTTGTATTTATTTACTTATTAATCTTGGAACTTTAGTTTTGTTGGGCAGAATTTACAAAATGGTTTGAAACCAACATACAAAAGCAGTACTAAAGAAAACAAGCATTAACTTCCCTGTGTGACAGCTAGCCCCAGTGTCTAGCCTATTGCATAGACTCATCATCTAATTGTTCATTTTTGTTTCTGAAAAACAATAAAAGATCCTGTAACGAAGCACATTTCAACAGTTCCCACCTGAGACTTTACAAGGCGCCCATCCATGCATTCGATCTGCCTGTACGAATTACCTTTCCCAATGATTTTAGGCAACAATTGAGCAAGGGACAAGCAGGAAGCTGTTGTGGCTTGTTATTGTTTTCCGTCAATTGTCAAATCTAAATTAGTTTCAAAGGAAAGGAAATTCAGTTCCCTTTCAGTCGGTCACTCTCGACGTCACGTCGGATGACCGACGAATTGGGATCTCGCTTAGAGGGACCAATCTACTTCGAGTGTAAACTAAACGAGCCAATGCACATTGGCATGCGATTATTGATACGTTTTTTGGAACGGCTTTGTAATGGTTGCCAGCACGATTTGTGATGAATACAACTCATCAGAGGGGGCCTGATAACTGCAGGAGCCATTAAAAGCACTCATGTGTGGCTCACGCTTTGCAAAACACCACCACACTTGGGCAAGAGCACTCTTCTGTTTGGAGGTACCCATTGATTTTGTCCTCATCTTTACTCCAAATCTGTTAAATGTTGTAAAATTACATTGCTGGTGATTGTAGATTTGATGGTCTGTCAGTGAGCTTTTAAACACAATGACATTTTTAGTAAGGAAATCCTAAAAAAAAAAAAAAAAACTAGGCCTGAATGCTAAGCTTGGACCACACTGTTTGTGCTACAGACATTATTGATACTTGTTTGTTTTTGTCCATGCACTGAAAATCGGTGGGGTCCAAATCGGTGTGTTCCACAGAAGAGAGAAAGTCATACAGAATGACATGAGTAAATGATTGCAGAATTTCCATTTCTGAGTGAACTATGCCTTTAAGAAGAGCAATCTGACTTACGACCTCTAAACTGTTTTTTAGGTTTTAAAGGGGTCATATGATGCAAGATCAATTTTTCCTTTCTCTTTGAAGTGTTACAAGCTCTTGGTGCATAAAGAAGATCTGTAAAGTTGCAAAGACTAAAGTCTCAAATCCAAAGAGATATTCTTTATAAAAGTTAAGAGTCAACCACACCTACCTAAAACGGCTCGTTCTAACACGCCCCCACATGTCTACGTCACGGTGTGGGAAAATTTGCATAACGCCGCCAAATGTTCACGCAAAGAAAGAAGACGTAACTTTTATTCTCGCTGTAGTAATGTTGTTGGTGTCCGTATTTATGTCCCCACTGGATGCAACAAATGCCTTGTTTGTAATGGGTTTTCATGTTTTTGTCTCGTCTCGCTCCGGCCGGGACAAGGCATCACAATATGGCAAGGGGCGTAACATTTCCGTCTCACGCTTGAGGTATTCGGCCAATCACAACGCACTGGATAGCTGGCCAATCAGAGCACACCTCGCTTTTTCAGACCGATGAGCTTTGTAAAAATCGACGCGTTTCAGAAAGGCGGGGCATAGAGGAGAAACAATAATGTACAGTATGTGGAAAATAATGTGTTTTTTTAACCTTAAACCGCATAAACATTTCATTACACCAAATACACAAAATAATGTTCTTTTTAGCAACATCATATGACCCCTAGAAATGTACTTGCCTGCTTATTGCTTCTATTGAATAACCCAGGTTCAGTAGATTGGAAGGTTGGAAAAAATGTGTCAGTGGTGACATTATTGCAAAGCAATATTACATTGCTATAGCCTTGCACCTTTCACAACATGTCCAGTGAAGTTAACAAATTCAGTTTTATCCAAAACTGAGGAACGTGGATCTGTAATGTTTTATTACATTGGTTGTTGTACGAATTGTGGCAATTTGGAAATGAAATGTTCAGTGAGTGGCACTAAAAGTTTAATGCTCTACTGTATATTTGAAAATAACTTATCACCTACACTAAACCAAACCCCAAGTGAACTTGGGATAAAAACACATTTGCTGAAGCAATCATGCCATTTTACCTTGCTTCTACAAGTCTTTAAAAAATTTTAACATGACTAGTGTTTCTTCGTATCACAAGTGAAGTGGTTTACCAGGTGAGCTACCGAGCAAGTTTACTACATCAGAAAAGCCATACATGTGAAGCTGGTTATGTGATGCAAACATGTATTAGTTTACAAATCATTCACTAAGGTACAAGTGTCTTGAGGAGATAAAATGATTGAAACTAAATCTTTATTAATTGATAATCTGCCACTGGAATCATAATTTCAGAATTGTGAAAGAGAATAAAAATTGCTGGTGTTTTACTGAGTTCATTTCAGCTGGAAACTGCAGTGAATTGTATGTATAGGTACATTTTTTGAGTTGATATTGAAGTAGCTGTCTGGGGGACGTTACCAAAATGGCCACAGAGTGAAATGACTTGCTTTAAAGTGCCTTTGAAACCACCTAGAACACCCTAGCAACCGAATAGCAATGCACTAAAATCCACTTTCAACACCTTAGCAACACATAGCAAAGCATTGTGGTGGAGTATTGCATGAGAAAGAAAAATCCAGTTGCACTGTAATATTCAAAACACAGCAGGATGTCAGTAATATATGCTAGACATTCTCCCAGTCTTTGTGGCCCGTTCTTTTTGAATTTAACTTTCATCCTCAAACTTTTTTCCCCCCATTTATTCTAGTCTGAGTCAGCAAGAGGCTCAAACTCTCTCAATAAACAGACGCAATAGGTGATGATTTAGCCTCCAGTCCAGCTGAAGGCTATTTACCACGTCTGTATACACACTCCTCCAAGGCTTTAACTTTGTGTGGCTCACTGATTGTAGCGTAAAATAGTTTTTTAGGAATAAAAATACAATCGCATTGAATGTGCTGCATATATTTTCATGAATCTACAGTCTACATTAGCATAAGTGTAATGTTTTTCTCTGTTTTCTCTCCTTTTTCAGATTTGGAAAACTTCAAAACCCACAAGCGGAGTTCTGTGTCTGTCCGGGAAGGACAAGGAGTGGTGCTTCTCTGCGGGCCGCCCCCTCACTCCGGAGGTCAGTCAGTACTACTTCAAGCTCGTTCATATTTCATTTACACCTCATTTTTCCAGAGGAGAGGTCTTCCGGCAGTCTCTCGGCACTCGGTTGTCCAATCTGCAGATCATATAATCCCATCAGCATCTCTCAGTTCTCTGACAGCATGTGTAGGCAAGCCCAGTCGCCCTCCGGAGACGGAGCTGTTTGTGTGCAAACCCACTTCCACCCTCACCTGCCTCCCTGTAGCGTCAAGCAGCATCCTTCCCTATACCGAGCGAGGGATGCGGGTCAGAAAGCCGTAAAAAATTACGATCGCTCTCTTCCTGAGTTACACAAAGACCCTGAAGCATCGAGCATTTCATCCATGCTGGGCTGCTCCTCCCCTGTATTTCTCCCAGAGTTTCTCTGCCGAATCTCACGTCTCTACCTCCACCGTGAAATGTTCATTAACTCTGCCATCACTTTGATGGCCTCTATCAATTAATCCAGCTGCGTGTGATTTAACTGCTTATTAATGGTGCCAACAGTGTTGCTTGTTAGAAGAAGTGCTTTGTTAGCGTTTATTGCACAATAGGTGCTTTTTCACATGGCCTTTTTGAAGGGCGGCATGGATCCAAAGCATTCGCACTTTTGTTACGTGAGCTATGATTGAACAGCATCCAAAAAGACATTTATCCATCAGCTATCTTTAAATATACCCCAACCCCATATGTCTACAGTATGTCATTTCCCTCATACTTCTTAAATATGCTGTACATAGTCATAAGTAATTGTGTAATTATTTATGTTTTGTTGCCAATTCCATTTAAATTCTACCTCATGAATTGTAAGTGAGACAATCTTTAAATTCTGAATGGTGGAGCTGCATGATAAGACTGATTTTAAACAATGGCACAGCACACATGTATTACACAAATTGGACAAAGAAAAGACACTGATATCAAAGTGATTCGCATCAAGCTCTACAGAGCGGGTGGAGCTAACAATTGTAAGAAGATTTTATGTTAGTAAAGCCTGCATTGAGATATTTTAGGATGAAATCAATCAATAAAAAAATCAATTCATCAAATCAAATTGGGTGACCAGAACTAACTGTTATAATCTGTGCTGAAATGTAGCAGATGAGTGGGCTGCATGTGTCACATTCAACGGGGTCTGCTTTCTAAATTTGGCAGCTACAGGAAGTGGCAAAGCAACAAAGAGATCAGATTAGACAAAGACTCTTCCAGCTAGTTACAAATAGTATAATTCATTATTTTTTTCTGACAGACAAGCCATTTATTTAGATAATTATGTTATGTGTTAATGGTGATGTTAGTTATTCTTTTATTCGCAGATGTTGATCGTTTCGTTGTCTAAGAGTTAGAAGTATGTCATTAGGTGATTTACTGGAAAAATGTGGGGTTGTCTTGTTGAAGAAATTGAATTGAGTCATTTTTAGCAGTTTTAAAGCGTTTCTTTGAAGTAAAATGGTTGAAGTAACCAATAGACATAACATTTACAGTATATTAAACATATTATGTATTGTGTAAGCATACTATTAGTATTGCCCATTAACAGAGGCTGGTTAAAAAACAACTTTTTTCTTGTCTTTGTTGGATTTGGCAAGTGTTTTCTTGACTGTGTGGCTGCTAGTTGGTTTGCCAAAGCTTCCTTTCAGCTGTCCTCATAAATTAGACGAAAATTCATTTTGGTGTTGGAGCGTGATTTATCTTTGACTCGTAGAAGGAGGAAACATGGAGTACAGGAGTACGAGACTGTCTGAAAAGGAACTGTTATTCTGTGCAAGTATAACGTGTCTGGATTTAAACCGAAAGAAGCCTTTGTATGTTAACTTGTATCATGTCCTTGTCTCTGTGGCACTGTGGAAGGAAAAACTCTGTGAAAGGAAGCAAGACTTTCTCTGTTAACTTTACAAAGAAGAAAAATAATAACTGTAAGAGTTTGGCTGAATCTTTCATAAGTAGTTTGGAGGCTAGAGGTGTTAAAAAATACCAAGGTACTAAGTTGGTACTAAAATATTTAAAAAATGTAACAATACCTGTCTTTCTGCATTATTAGTAGTAACAAGTAATGACTACATTTGGTTCCTTCACTTTGTCTGACTAATGTTTGAACACTTTGAAAAACCATGAGAATCTGAGTTCTTGTTTCATGCAAAAAAAACAACAACTGTGTACCGTTTACAAATAAGTTAAATAAGTACTGTAAAAGTGTTATTTTCTTATTTGGCAAATGCTTGAAGGCTGCAATTCTGTTCTTTCAATTTAATTAGTTAATACTATTTATTTATTGATGTACATTACATTTCAAGTTCGGGATAAGTAAGATATTTTATTTAATAAAAAAAAATAATAATAATTTCTGCAAGGATGTATCAAAAGTGACAGTAAAGACATTTATAATGTTGAAAAAGATTTATATTTCAGATAAATACTGTTCATTTGAACTTTCTATTCATCAAAGAATTATAAAAAATATATCATGGTTTCCACAAAGATATTATGCAACATTGATGATAATAAGAAATGTTTCTTGAGCAGCGAATCAACATTAGAATGATTTCTGAAGGATCATGTGACACTGAACAACACTGGGGTAATGGCTGCATAAATTTAATTTAAAAAAATATTAAAATAGAAAACAGTTCTTTTAAGTTTTAATAATATTTTAGATTATGAATTAAACATAATAATTATTATTATTTATTTGTTTATTTATTTCAATCATGTTTTATACTATAATAGTATACTTAGTTCATATAAATTGTTATAGTAGATACAAATCATTATTAAGCGTGTATTCAGTATCATTAGTTTTTGCTGAACTGATTTTGAGAATCATGGTATTGACTATTGAATTTTTGGTATTGTGACAGCCCTGTTAGAGACTATAAAAGTGCTGTACAGCTGGACTGATTCAGTGCTCACACAAATCACCCCAGATTTTCTTGTACAAGCTGTAATAGGTCCAGAAAAGCTAATAAAAAAGCGTTTAGTCATAAATAATTAATGCTGTAGTATTTTGACATCGATACACTTTAAAGACGTGTGTCTCCAGTTCTTGTCTGCTTTGGAAAAAGTGACTTCCTGTGACAGCTGATGATGACATTGATCATTTATGCCATCCATCTCTTTCTCCCCCAAGCATCCTCTGCAGTCAAACTTGGCATAGTCAGTGGGTGGCGCAGTAACGAATGAATATCGCAGCATCGTGCTATTCATTACCTTCTGCACTCGGGGTCTGAATGACTGGCTACAGCTTTGAGGACTCATATGCTGCAGAGAACCTCTCGTCAGGAGCAGGGCCCTGCCTGCCAGAGCAACTGTCAGGGGAAGCATAAGGCAGAGAAGACAGCTGGCCCCCTGTTTCCTTATGCCACGAATGCGCTCGCACATGCTGATTGAGCTGTATAAAAGTCTTAAATTTACCTTCATAAAACCTGCAGAAACCCTGTAATTGTTTGATGTCCATTTATTTATTTAGTATTTAAATGTGTCATAGTATTTTAAAATACATGCAGATGCATTATACAAATAGAATATTAGAAAAATAAGAAAAGAAAATATAATAATCATAATAAATAAATCAATCACAATAAATAATAAATCAATTATTATTAAATCATAATAAATAAAGGTTTTGTTTTAAAAGAAGTTCTATTTTCTATTTGTTCTTATGTTCAGTAAGAAAATAATGATATAAATAATAGCAATTATACTGTTTATAATTATTTATAATTATTAGGGCCCGAGCACCGATGGTGTGAGGACCCTATTGGAATTGCTCCGTTTCTTATTCTTCTTCTTCTTCTTCTTCTTCCATCGTGCTATTCATTACCTTCTGCACTCGGGGTCTGAATGACTGGCTACAGCTTTGAGGACTCATATGCTGCAGAGAACCTCTCGTCAGGAGCAGGGCCCTGCCTGCCAGAGCAACTGTCAGGGGAAGCATAAGGCAGAGAAGACAGCTGGCCCCCTGTTTCCTTATGCCACGAATGCGCTCGCACATGCTGATTGAGCTGTATATAATCCACTGGCGAGGGAGAAGGCGAGAAGAGAGGATTGGGGTGTGATTGGAGGAGAAACTGTGTGCTGGCTCTTACGCTGCTCCAATACAAATGTGATAAGATGTTTGGCCACGTGCAACAGTGTGAGCATGCATTAGCGTGCCAAACCTCCCGAGTGTGTATACATGTGTAAGCTTGTGACTCAGACTATAAAATGGAAGCAGATGATCTCTTGCACATTATCTGCATTTTTGCTCGGTTAAATCTAAGGATCTCTCATGAGGTTGAGAGCTAATTGTTTGGTAGATCATAGTCTGTAGAGGATCAAGGGCATTAGTTGTGTTTGCTGATAGCGTTTGGTTGAAGGGCACCTGAACTGGCTTGGCCAGGCTTGGAGAGCAGTTTAATGATTTTAAACACTAATTGCATTTCCTCCTCACTTGTATCAAGACAATAAACAATTTAGCTATTATTATGTACTCTATATTTGTAATTCAGAGTTTCTTCAGGTCTTAGTTCACACAAATTAAGGTCTTAAATCACAGCAGAAAGTCAAAAATTGATAAAGTCATGGTGTTAAATGTCACATGCATTGCTAAAAATTAAGATCTTCCTCAGTATTTTTGTCTTGTTGTCCAATATGAAGTCTTGTTTTCTAAAAAAAAAAAAATGCTCTTTTTAATCATTAACTCTTAACTTTATTTTGATCAATTTCACAGAAAACATGCCATTTTGCTTCTCAAGTAAATGTATCTTGATTTAAGCATCTTTTGCACTGGAAAACAAGACAACATCACTTTTTGCAGAATGTATGCAGTATTATGTTCCCTTTAATTTATATATATATATATATATATATATATAAGAAGTTCTATTTTCTATTTGTTCTTATGTTCAGTAAGAAAATAATGATATAAATAATAGCAATTATACTGTTTATAATTATTTATAATTATTATAATTATAATTATTACTGTATATATGTGTTGTGTGTGTGTGTCTATGTATG